CATTGGTATTTGGTTTATATGTAAATCTTTAATTGGAAATCCGGGCTAAAGTTAACAGAGTTTTTTCCGGTTAAATCCAACAAGGAAAAAATGTGATCTAAGTCACCTTATTCCCTGGAATTTCCTGTCGTAATTTGTTGTATCGTTTAAAAAATCTATTGTAAAATGAAAACAACAAATCATACCATCGATATGCCAGCACTCGGGTTTGGTACACTGATTCCCGATGCGGCAGAAACAATAACAGCTACCAGGGACGCACTGAAGGCTGGATTCCGGCACTTCGATTGCGCAGAACGCTATCAAAACGAGCGTGAGGTAGGTGAGGCTTTACAAGCCGGACTTGCAGCTGAAGGCCTTAGCCGCGAAGACATTTTTTTGACCACCAAGTTGTGGAATACGAATCATCGCCCGGATCGTGTTGAAGCAGCATTTGAAGCAAGTTTAGACAGACTTGGAATCAGCTATCTGGATCTCTACCTCATTCATACTCCATTTGCATTTCAGCCAGGAGAGGAGCAGGATCCGCGTGACGAAAATGGAAATGTTATTTACGACCGTGAAGTGACTTTACTTGACACCTGGAGAGCGATGGAGCATCTTGTGGACAGCGGCAAATGCAGGTCTATTGGATTGTCTGACATTAGTTTGGAAGAACTTTTGCCGATCTATGAATCAGCGAGAATCAAACCAGCGGTGATCCAGGTCGAAGCACATCCTTATTTGCCTGAAACGGAGCTTTTGGAATTCTGCAAGGAGAAAGGGATTGTGTTTTTGGCTTTCGCACCTCTAGGTCACGGAATAAGACCCGGGCTACTCGAAGACCCGGTTATTTTGGCAATTGGTGCACGGATTGGAAAAACGCCTGCACAGGTATTGTTAGCCTGGGCAGTTCAACGTGGTACGGCTTTGCTGACCACACCTAAAACTGCAGACCGTGCAAGAGAGAATTTTGACATCTCTAGCTTGCCGCAAGATGCATTTGATGAAATCAATCGTATTCAGACCAGGCAGAGATTAAATGGGGTAGTGAAAACAGGAATCCCAGGTTTCATTGCAAAACGCAATTGATCCGGAAAAATCAAATAGTTGATGTATAATGTTGATGCATAATATAGTTGATGTATAATGTTGATGCATAATATAGTTGATGTATAATTTAGGAAAGACAAGTCAAACCACTTTACAAAGCAGGGGCGACTTGTCTTAAAGGTTTGCGTAAATCCAGACCTGATTGCTAAATAGGATTTTAATCAATCTTTATGCTATCAACTGCTTTCTGCATAGCGTGTTCTTTGATTCCTGGTACTTTTAAGCCTTCAGCACGAAATACAGTCAGGTCTGTCATCCCTAAAAAGCCGAGAAAACCTTTTAAATATGGAGCAACAAAATCGTTGACTTTTCCTGGACCTTCTGAATAAACACCACCGGAAGACATGGCTACGTATACTTTTTTTCCTGTTACCATGCCAACAGGGCCATTTTCACCATACCCAAAAGTTATTCCAGCCCTGGTAATATGATCAATCCAGGCCTTTAATTGCGGTATGAATAGTGAAATTGTAAAGAGGTGCACCAATGACAATGATGTCTGCGGCTAATAATTGTTGAACCACTTTGTCAGAAAACCGGACAGCTTCTTTTTCTTCTTCAGTTAGCTGATCTTCAGGAATAAAAAATGTGCGAAGGACGGCGGGGTTAAGGTGTGGGATTTCGATATCGATGAGGTTTACTTCTTCAAGTGTGCTGCCCGGATATTTTTCCTGAATTTTTTCGACGATAGTTTGACCTAACTTAATGCTGTACGATTGTTTGCCTTGCAGGCTTGAAATTAAATGAAGAATACGTTTCATAAAAAAATTACTTGTTTAATGATATGATCAATTGAAATTCCGGGGTTCCTTATCTGTTGAGGAAGAAGGGTTTCTTTCGCCCGGATTATCAAAACAAAAGTAGGGTTACCAGGTGATCAAAAGTTAGTACTTACCCAAAGGAAAGCGGTTACATTAAGGTAATGTGATTACCTTTGTGTCTATGAAAATGATTATAAATGAGCTGCTTCCGAGCAATGAAGAATGTGCAGGCTCGCTCAAAAATGTCCTTGATGCGCTCTATGTCCTCAATGGAAAATGGAAGCTGGCTTTAATTCTTAGCCTGGTGCAATCGTCAAAGCGTTTTAATGAGATCCAGCATGCAATCCCTGAAATCTCATCCAAGGTGCTGGCTAAAGAATTAAAAGATTTGGAGTTGAATGATTTTATCAAACGTAATGTATATCCGACTACACCGGTAAGTATCATCTATGAAGCAACAGCGTACAGCAGGACATTGAAAAATGTGATAGGTGAATTAAGTGCCTGGGGTGAGCAGCACAGAGAAAAGATTAAGCAAAGTATGCGGAAAACATCTGTCAATAATACTGGAGCGCAATAGGTGTAATATTGCCTGATTTGCAGAAAATATTTATTTTCCTTATAATTACTATACAAATATATTTACATATTAAATTATAAG